TACTTGGTGTTAACATAGCTACTTGGTGTTACATAGCCACCTGGCGTTAACATAGCCAGCTGGCATTAACATAGCTACCTGGTGTTAACATAGCTACCTGGCATTAACCTAGCTACCTGGTGTTAACATCGCCTCCTGGCATTAACATAGATACCTGGCGTTAACATAGCCACCTGGCATTAACATAGCCACCTGGCATTAAATAGCTACCTGGTATTAACATAGCTACCTGTCATTAACATAACCACCTTGTGTTTACATAGTAAGCAAATAACACCGAATAAACGGCAAGGTAAAGACTATGTCTAATTATAGTAAATACGTACTGCGTGCGTGACTCGAACCGGCGCTCGCGTACGGCACCAAATCGCCTAGCTTCACGCCACTACACGTCTTCCTCTCGGCCACCGGGCATCCCCATTAAAGGATGCTTAATAACCGAGCTTATTACGTGCAGAGAACATGAAACCCGTCCACGCGATACGCGCCACACAGCATGGCCAGAATGCGGCAAAGACCTTCAGATCTGGCTGTAGTAGGATGGTGAAAGTAATGGTACAGCATTGTAACAGTGTAATATTTTGTGTTTACATAGCTACCTGGCGTTAACATAGCCACCTGGTGTTAACACAGCTACCTGGCGTTAACATAGCCACCTGGCGTTAATAGCCACCTGGTGTTAACATGGCTACCTGGCGTTAACATAGCCACCTGGCATTAACATAGCTACCTGGTGTTAACATAGCTACTTAGCATTAACATAGCCACCTGGAATTAACATAGCTACCTGGCATTAACATAGCTACCTGGTGTTAACATAGATACCTGGCGTTAACATAGCCACCTGGCATTAACATAGCCACCTGGTGTTAACATAGCCACCTGGCATTAACATAGCCACCTGGTGTTAACATAGCTACCTGGCATTAACATAGCTACCTGGTGTTAACATAGATACCTAGCGTTAACATAGCCACCTGGCATTAACATAGCCACCTGGTGTTAACATAGCTACCTGGCGTTAACAGACACCTGGTTATGCATATGTTGAAGACTGGGTAATTGGCCACATTCGGCAAATATTGCCTACCTTATATAAGAACGAGCATCAGGCAGTATAGTGGGGTGTATTTTAATTAAAGATATTACAAAAAACCTCATAACAGGCTTAATAAATAAATTATTTAAATAATTATTTCTTATTACATACTATTGATATATTTCCAAGATCCTTTGGGAGCCATGTTTAACGACGATTAAACTAATCACTGTGACAACGTGTTTTAATTTGATCACCACAGTTGATGATCGAACATTTAAAAAAAATAAAATAAATAGTATATATAAATATGGTTGCATAGCAGGATCATATGGTATCTCAATGATGCTATGAGTTCGTGCCACCAGGATACCGAAAATAAAAAAAACGTCACCTGAGAAATTAACATTAATACAAACAGTTCCGATACGAATCCTAATATTGTTAAAACACTAGAAAATTGATATTATCTTGTGAATTTCCAGGATGATAATAGTTTACAATTATATACAATGGGAAATTCTCTCCCATAATGCATTGCATATATGTGCAGTGACATGCTCAGTAGTGCAAAATTTGAAAATATGTGTGTTCTCGCTTTACCACCCATTAACTGTCCGTGACGTCATTTCCTATTGATTTATATTTTATGTATTTTTTCTGTAAATATAACAACTATTTTTTTTATTTATATCACGAGACAAACGAACACCGGCCAATTCGTAATGAATGTAACTGGAACGATAAACACATTCCGGGCAGAAATTCTATTTTAGTTTCCATTGACATGCGTGGTCTTAATTTAGCCAGTCCGTGATTATAAAGGATTGCTGCGACAGTAATATATCGTTAGGTGAAATGGCGTACCAGAAAACCAGCTCACAGGTGAGTCCAAACCTTTTTTTGTACTAGACGATATCTATAATAGATCTACAACGAACCAAAAATAATGTCTTTTCTAAAACGAAATCGCTACTGGAAGGCATTCCATGGAGTGGCGCTTCGTGAGAAGAGGAAATCCGCTACCAGGAACAGAAAGAGAAACAGAAGCCGTTTAAAAATACACGATTATTTATTCCTGTCACAGCGTTGAGAGCATAGTCCGATAGTTGACATAAGAGAGATTGGACTCGCAGTTTTCGGATATTGTTCGGAATTTTCATAAATTTTTGAAACAACTATTTCGCTGGTATTAATATAAATTTTACAAACCAATAGAAAATTATTAGACGCGCAATATTTAAACGAAAATGGACATGAAATCGTCCGATTATTCGATTGATGTAGATTGTTTACATGATCGACTTTTGCCGCGAATATACTAGTATATCATTAAAATTTGGCAACCACGTCTACATGCCACCCAACCCAACACCACATCATTTGAAAATTATAAATATGATATCAACGCATACACCAATTACCTATTAATTTCCACGCAATAATTTAAAATAAATATTACGAGTCGACGCAAAAATGTGAATAAAACAAATGCGTCGTAAGTATAAATGACAAAAAATGTCATTTCATCTATTTTACAATAATGACAAAATCGAGCTATTAAAACGATTCATTGGTTTAGTGGAATGGATCAACTTAGTGTATTTATAGCAATTATAGCAAATTATTTGTAAGGGCTATACCGTAGGCATTATTTCTTCAAATAACAGAAATAGAACGATTCAACACAATATATCGATCGTTTATGTAGCATTATGTGTTTTCTATTCCATGTAGTATTTACACAACGAATAAAAACAATGGTAAGGTGGAAATATACATAAGGTATAAAGGGCGTGTTTATATTGCCCTATATTTTAATATGGTAAAAGTGACTTAAAAACACCCAAACCATTTTCATGTAAACATACCCCGAGTGGTTACGTAATTGACCTTGGTAAAATGCGTAATTCTGATTAAAACGCCCCAAGACCATGCGCCAAGGTAGAATTGTCCGACTATATGGCAAAGGATACAAAATAAAATGGTGGTGGCGGGTGGGGTGTAGAATTGCCAAAGATGGCGCTTAAATACAATTCGCTGAATATATTCTGCAATGGGAAAGTGGCGGTTGATATAATAAAAGGACCTGGCGAAGATGCATTCAAATTAGTTATTTTCACCGTGTTTTGTACATCAACCCTCAACTGAATGATGACATCATATTTTTTTTACAATTTCCTTCATCCTTATAATATCACGTACATAGAATTTGTGATATATTTAATCACCAGTAGCGTCCAATCTGAAAGAGCAGCGGTTCCCACGCAGCGTGCGTTCAAATTACAAATAAACCTAGTATTTTTTACATACATTGTATACGACGCGTGGCACCTACGCCGAACAAGACGCGATGCAACGACTCATCGTCCGAATCGGACGGTCCCGTGTCTTCGATCAATAGGCGTCTGCACGATAGAGGCTTGGCCGAATAAACTTAGACCTTGGCTAGCGAAGATGGCAACGACTGGGCGCAGAACGAAACACATCTCAACACTGTTGGTGAATGTATATACTTTTTTTAAAAATATTTATTCAAGTCATATTCAAAGATATTTTCATTTCAATACTTTTTATATTACAGTGTAATACCTGCATTATATTGAGCAATTTAAATATTTGGTGTCATTATTCTGTTACGTTTTTTTTAATCATGTGTTGTTACCGCCGCTTAGAACTCGATGCCTACGCGTGCGGGGGGTGATGACCCGTTCGCTTTAACAGAGATCATACAATGGTATAAAAAACAGACAGGAGAACAGGTCCATTTTTTATGGGAGTGGTGTAGACGGATTTAAATTGTGTCAACCACCGATACATTATTGTTTATGTAGAAATCTTCAAAAAACGATCGTCACCCCCCCCCCCTTCGTCCATCATTGTCACCCCAATAGCTTAACATGTACCAGTTAGGTTATAGTGACACGTGACGCGTTAATGTTTTAAGTCCTGAATGAATTTAGGATCATCACAGTGTGAAATATATCGACAATTTGTATTACGGGAAAAAATGATTAATTTGAGTCTCATTAAAATTTACTATTTTAATTAACTAAAGGTAAAGAAGATGAATTTGAGTGTATTTGATTTAATGTTTTAAATTTTTTTTTCGATATTTCATGTCCATGAAAGGAAATACAGAATGATTAGCGTGCCCACATAACACCAGTGGGTTCGACTGCCGTGGACAGTTGCATACTCTGCAGTACAAAAGGAGTACTTCCCACCCACTTACCAAACTTGCGGTAGTCATCGTTGTCTTTTAGGAGGGACGTGAAAAAACGGAGCCTCAAAATGGTTGTTTGGGTGGGTAATATGTACTTAAATCAGGATGTGAATGATTGATTGCAATGTAACAATAATATTATTTGGTAGCAAATATAGCAATGCTTGCTCAACGAAATTATAGGTCATTGATCCATGCTGAAATCCCCCTAGAAATGGAAATTTTACATATTAATTGTTTTACGCGCACACTTTCAAAGACAATATCAGTATATCTTATAGAAAATAACTTCAATTGAAAATAGTTACTGCATTGTAAGAGATATTATGTAGACAATCGAATCTGTTCAAAATAGTTTATTAATTTTGTTTCATTTGCATAACACATTTTGATTAAAAACAAATTCTTGATGGATGCTTGATGGATGCTTGATGGATGCTGGGGAACAGCTGAGAAGTGTCAGACACATCTGGGTATTTGATGTTGTTTACCATTTCGTATACCAACATTTTCCGATTTCTAGTCATACAACAACAATATAAGGATTATTCACTATTATATCAGTTCGCCGCTACATGCATTTTCACAGTTATTTTGAGCGTTGTTAATTAATTGATGAGCTAATTGTTTTTTGTTTCATAAATATGATGTACTACTTAGTAATGTAAGACTATTGCATCATTTCCTTTCCAGAAGATGAATGAACAATATATTTTGAATTTAAATGTATTATCTCCTTATTTTCACAATATTCACAGAAAATACTATTTTAATAGGATGTCTACAGTAGTTACTGCATCTCGCTTTAAATTTAAATGATTTCGCAAAATAATAAATTAATGATGTTTGTATTTGTAGTAGGTTAAATTAATGCTGACCGTTGATGATACAAGATTAATCAGAATAGATGGTGAATTAGAATAATTCAAATAAGACGCTATATAGTGCATAGTGCTCATTACGGGCACGGATAACTTCCACAATGGAATATATTTATTAACAGGATGCAGATGCAGGATGCACTTTTGCAGTATAATACATATGAATAACAGACAGCAGACACATATAATGCTTCTATTTCAAATGATTCAAGTACAGATCATATTTATTTTGTAGTGATATTGGAATTGTATTGCGAGTAAAAATGTCTGACAGAGACTCGCCAGAAGAAATGCGTTTGGTGAATAGTAAAAGCCCAGTATCGTCATATACTATCAATGGTGAAGATGACGACAGTGAGGTTGAAGTAGATCTGTCAGAGATAATGGCAGAGAGACAAAAACGTCGCGAGAACAGGAAGACCCCGAGACAAAATGCTAAAACGAAGAAGGCCGAAAAACTGAAGGATCTGTACGAAGATGAACTTAATCTTGCAAATGCATACGAATCAACGCTTTCTGAAGCTGGGTTCGGACGTTACCAGATTCAGGTATTTTTCGTGGTAGGGTTAGGGATAATGGCGGACGGTGTAGAAGTGTTTCTAATGGGATACGTCTTGTCAAGTGCTGACCGGGAACTGTGTTTAAATGATTGGAAAAAGGGATGGTTGAGTAAGTAAACCCAGACCTTTATTCACTTAGCCCCACTAAATCATGTATTGTGCACATTTCTATGTTTTGAATTTGGAATATTTAAGAAAAAATACACAAAACGCCATATGTTGTAAAATGATTTAAATTATTTTACAGCATTCAATATTCGTTAGTTTTTTTAACTGACGTGATTGCAATGTGAATCCACCAGTAGACAGGTGGTAGATATAACGGTGCTATATGTGCAATGTATGCTAAAAGTATTAAAACATGACAACACTAGCCGGGCATACACTCTACGATGGCATGTTGACACCTGATGACTGTACAATTCAATTATTCATACACTTTTGTTACAATTGGATTAAGAGACTCTCTGTCGATAAAATTCCAATATGCGAAAATAACACCTTTTTGAAGGCACCAAATGTACAAGTAATTACTAAATTACCATCACAAAATTCGAAATACCGACACAAGAACAGCTACGCAACGCAACGCAATCCAACCAACGCAATCCAACCCAGCCCAACGCAATCCAACCCAACCCAACGAAACACAATCCAACACAACACAATCCAACCCAATCCAACACAGTCTAACACAAACTCAACGTAACATGACATTTCAAGTAATCATAACCATTACGAAGTTCATTTATTATTGCATGAGGTAAATCAATGTTTTTTTTTATCATAAGCATAATACAGCATCCATTAAATTAATCAACATTGGATAGATAACACAATATTAAAGTTATTAATAGTCCCCCTCTAATAAACATCTAGTCACATAATTCACATGACACAATCGTAATTAGTCAACCCTCATCAACATGTTATGAACGAAAACAAATTGCTATCAGGGCGTTGTCATGGTAACGCGTTTTCATTAACTCCGTCTTCTTGATTATATTCTTATCAAATTTGCTCAGTTAAGAAATAAATCAATGCGAATTAATTAATGATTGGCTACTGAAATCGGTAAATATACAACTCCTTTGTCTTGTATGTAATAAGCCAGAGGAAATATACTAGTGTATATTGATCACTGGTAGCCTAGTGGTTGTCGCATCAGACGCATGATCGGTAGACCCAAGTTCATAACCTACCTTAGGCTGAACATCAAAAGGGTCGACCCCTATCCTGGCAGAGTGTACCACAGACTTAATGGGAAAGCCAATTGCACTGGCCAAGATTCATTCACTAACGAATGCGGCCTCGCCAGAAACTGGAACTGTCGCCTGGCATAATAAAAAGACTATTTAAAATATATATACTAGAGTAGGAACTCAGACACACAGAATAAATAAAACCACTGATATTTTCTGATCGGTCGACAATGCAGTAAATCTGTATCATGAAAACTTCCGCCAACATTACAAATATATGTCATAATGGCAGCTTATCGGATTTCTATTTCCGCCAGTCGTTAATTAC